GTGTGTGTGTGTGTGTGTGTGTGCGTGCGGGGGAAGCGCGACTCCTTCCCCACCAATCAATCAATCAATCAATCAATCAATCAACCAATCAAAAAAAAGAAAAAGAAAAAAACAAAAAAAAACAGCAGGGTTGGACCTGCGTGTGTGTGTGTGCGGGGGGGTTCCCCGCAAATCAATCAATCAATCAATCAATCAATCAAAAAAACGAAAAAGCAAGACAAACAACCCCTGCCCGTGCGTGCGTGCGTGTGTGGGGGGGGGGGGGGGGCGACTCCTTCCCCACCAATCAATCAATCAAGCAATCAACCAATCAACCAACCAACCAATCAATCAATCAATCAATTAATTTAAAAAAAAAAAGGGGAAATTTTTTAAATGCCCCTGAAGTTTGCGTTTATTTGCGGCGTGCCCCTCTGACGACCGACTTACCTTATCGTGCCCCTCTGACGACGAACGATGTTTCCAAAAAAACCCTGGCGTCGTTTGGGCCTGAAAAATGTTTCATATGCCCCTACCGGTACCAGTACCAAATTTTCAGTCTGCCCCTCCCGGATGGCCGTTTAGAACCAGCACAAAAGAGTCCCATATGCCCTCATTGGTACCATCCATCTTTCCAGCGAGCCCCTGTGGCCGTTGTTGACACTCACAGTCTTTCCCCTGGCCCCGGGAGAGATGCTACAGGGGCATATCAGAAATTTGGCGATGAGCATGGACACACACACGCACACACACACACACACACACACGCAACACACATATACACACACGCGCACACACACGCGCGCACACACACACACACACACACACACACACACACACACACACACACACACAACACACACACACACACACACACACACACAACACACACATGCACACACATACAGACGCGCGCGCGTGCATGGGCGATGACACCAAGAAGACAGCCACGGTGATGGTTAGGAGGTCGCCAATCGAGGAGGAGGAGAGGGAGGGGTGACGAGGAGAAAGTTGGAGGAGGGAGGAACGAGGGAGGAGGAGGGAAGAGGAGGAACGAGGGAAGAGGATGGAAAGGAGTAGGGAGGACAAAGACTATTGTTTGAGGATGGAGGCTGGAGGAGAAGAGAGGAGAGCAACGAGCATGGATGGAGGAGGAGGGAGGAGGGCGATAAGCATGGATGGAGGGAGGAGGGCGCTAAGCATGGATGGAGGAGGAGGGAGGAGGAGCATGGAGCATGGACACACACACACACACACACACACACACACACACACACACACACACACACACACACACATATGCAGACGCGTGCACTTGCATGGGCGATGACACCAAGAAGACGGCCATGGTGATGAATAGGAGGTCGACAATCGAGGAGGTGGTGAGGGAGGGGTGACGAGGAGAAAGTTGGAGGGAGGAATAAGGGAAGAGGAGGGGAAGAGGAGTAGGGAGGACAAAGACTCGGACAAGGATAGAGGATGGAGGCTGGACGAGAAGAGAGGAGAGCAACGAGGACGGAGAGAGGAGAGCGACGAGGACGGAGGAGGAGGGAGGAGGGCAATGCGCATGGATGGAGGAGGGAAGAGGGCAATGAGCATGGACACACACACGCGCACGTGCACGCTCCCCCTTCGCACGGTAGCTGTATGCACTCCAACACATCGATCACCGACACCGCGGACTCGAAGACTCACTGCTGCATCTTTTTCGTGGCGGTGTGTGGAATGCCTACCACTTTGAATTTGAATTCCTGCCGCCACTGCTGCAAGGGCATCACAGAAAGATGTGTGCCCCTCGTGAGGGCATTTCAAGGACGGACCGACGAAACGCCACCAGCGGTCCAGTAAGGGCATATGGGAAAGTTACACCCCATGCTGACAGGGGCCTGCAGAAAATTTCAGAGGCCCGAGGGCCACCACAGGGTAAGTCAGCCTTCACAGGGGCATGCCGCAAATAAAC